TTTACACTTCAGTTTTGCTGTAGAATGTCTGTTTTGTATTTTATTTTACGGAAAATAAAATCTTAAATTTTTTTGTTGCAAACCGTAGGTGGGGAAAACGTTCTTTATATTAAAAAAAAGCAGTCCCACATGTGGATAATAATAAATAAATATAAGTCTATAAGAAACAAAACTGTTGCCCAGATATTCTTGGATATTCAGGTAGATTGTGGTCATATTATCCCAGGTATTCGTTGAAACTAGTTGAATTTCTATTGAAAAGCTTACTTCTTCTTTAATGCATGTTTGAATAATTTCTAATATCCGCATTTCTGAGCATGTGTATTAACACACAATATTCTTGAGTAAACCTAACTGAAGGAAGATGAATCTAATTATGATAAGTTCTACAGAATTTTATTTTAAAATTCGTTATGATTTGCATTTTTTGAGTGCAAAAATAATTTTTTCTTTCATGTTTGAAACTTTCACAATTACCCTTTAAAAATAGCTGCATATTATTATACCCGAAAAATAAAATTTAAGAATGTAGTGAATTCTGGGAAATAATTTAATTCAATGTATCGAAAACCCAAATTATAAATATCAATTTAAAATCTAGTTTCTGTTGGGTAGTTACTTGAAAGTAATACTGATAGAAAATGTTTAGTAAAACTATGCATTATTACCTCTAACTATAACATTTTGAAAAAATATTTTCAATTTTCCGACTGCACATACAAAAACTTTTGTTGCATAAAAGGCATCAAGAGCATTGGCCCATCAGGCGGACTAGAAATAAATTCTCTGAATATTGGTAATTCGGCCCAAGATTCGAGTCCCACAAACAAGCTCACTGCGTAGGTGTTTTCTTTGTTTTCCCCACTTGCAACGTGTATACGAGCCAGCTTTCCTCAGAAATTCCTCCACGAAGACATGGCTATCCTTAGGCAAATAACTTTTGAGTTTTTTTGCCATAATCAAATTAAAACAAATTAAAAAAATAAGTAAGTAACAAGAGCATTAGAGTAGTGTCTTCGTTTGATTCTTTCTATGTATAGAGAGAGAAAAAAAAGGTATGGAGACTAATAAAACCATAACAGGGTTCGTAGCGGTCCTTATAAGTGCTTATAAGTCCTTATATTTGAAAATAAAATATAAAGGCCCTTATAGGTGCTTACTTTTGCTTTAAAGCCCTTAGTTTTTTGTTTTTAGTGTTTATTTTTTTGCTTTTAGTGCTTTTTTTTTTAAATGAACGCACAATTTTTCCCCGTACCAAAGTCGAACTACTAAATAATTTCTTCCTATATGGAATGTCAGAGGGAGATCATACCTTGGAAATAGCGTTTCCCCTTCTCTGTAAACATAACCTTGGTGTGCGCGGAGAGTACAGACAGGTGCCCGTTGTTCTGTTGGTCAAAGAATTGCAAAAGCAGTAGAAAATTCCGGTACATTTTGGCTTCTTTCCTCCCACCCAAATACTACACAACTTTGAATTTTATCAGATCTTAATAATTTGCATTCTCGTTCTGCTTGGTCAGTCATATTTGTGTTTTATTATGCTCGTTATGCTTATATATGAGCATATGTATGAATGTTAATAAACGTTGCAAGTACTGCTGAAGTATAGTAACTTCCAAAAGGTTGTGTTTAACACAGATTTTTTAATAATATTCGGAATGGCTTAAGTAAAGGGAAAGTAATCGAATAGTCAAAATAATTTCATTTTTTGGCCAATACATTATACGTACGAAGGTTGAAAGGTTCTCCCTTTCTCCGCAAAATCTCGAATATTGAAACTGTACATTCTGAAAACAAGCAACGGCCTTTTTTTTTTTTTTTTTTTTTTTTTTTTTTTGTTTGTCTTTCCATCTGGATTGAATAGGACTAAAAGTTCTGCAGTCTACCAACCCAAGAAAAGAATGATTTTATTCCGGAAATTTAATGCAGTCTGTTGAAAATTAGAATGAAAAACATCCCAGATTGGTAAGTCTCTTTTTTTTCCTTTATTTAGTTCTTTATTCTCCAATACAGGCAGCTGTTGAATCCGATTGCGTAATATCATGTAGGGAAGAATTACGGGGCACTTATTGTGCAATAACGTTTGCGATATTTTGCAGAGATAATTAATTTTGATGTTCGGTCCGAGATTTGTTTATGAATACTTAAAAGAGTTGTACTGTGCTTGCAAGCAGAATATTTTTCTATTCCATTGGTTTGTTTTTATATGATGCACATACCGAAATGTCAAAAGTATTTATTTAGCAGAAAAATCTAAAGAACGACTACAGTTTACCCCCCTCCGCTCCTCTTTTCAAGTTATGCTCGACTGTCCGAATATTCTCCAATTTTTAAGTATGCGGGTAGTTAAAAGTTTACTGTTAAAGGATGACTGCATGAAGCAAATTTCTGTCTTCTGATTCAGAATGTTCCTCTTTTTACTTAAATACTTTGCTGCAATATCTGTTAAGGGAAAACTGATATACAATGAAAATTTAGAAAAATGTTCAGAATTTAAATTTAAATAGTTAAATATCAATATAAGTGGAAAAATGAATTGTATTTATTATTAAGTTCCAAGCAAATAGAATAAATATGCCTTATTATTATTTATTTCCTCTATTTTGAACTGAAATTTCATCATTAAATCTTGTAATGTAGTTTAGTTCTGCATAGTTTTTTTTCTCTCATTGTAAACTAGTTCTGTAAATGGAACTGTTATTTAAAATTTTAAAAAGTAATTGTTTTCCATGGTTGAGGTAATGCTTATTCTCTCTTAATAAATACTGCATTTTGCAAATTTTAAATTACGCGCTAATTTTTAATGTTATGCAGTTGTGTATAATAATTAGACAGGTGCTTATTTTTTCTTAAATGCTTGAAAAGTGCTTATATTGCTTTTTTTTAACCAAAAGGGCTATGAACCCGCATAAGATTCATCAAAATCCGATTCAATCATTCATCAAATCCGATTTTTATAATTTTAACACGCAGATTTCTAAGGGCAACTGTTTATTGCTCTTAGCTCCCCTCCCAAATAAGTAGTGGAATAGTAAAATATAGATATTTTCTTAGATTTTAAAGAAAAAAAAATCATTTGTACAATAATACCCTCGTGGCTTTCCGAATTATTGCGTCAAAAAGCGGAAAATTGCATGGCAAAAATTTAGCGTTGGATTATGATTAGAAAATAAACAGTTTTTTGCAGTTCAGTTAATTTGTGCTGTATTATATCAAGTTTTGTAATATTATTTATAGCGTAGTTTAAAAACCTGGATGAAACCTACCATTAAATGCTGTTATATATTTTAATATAAAAAATATAAGGAAACCATTCAAAAATCAGTGAGAAATATTGCTTTATCTAGGCAAGCAATCATTGTAATGGTAAATTAAGTCATTAAAGGAAAGTGAAGAAGAGAAACATAAAAATTTTGAAGGAGCCTAGTGAGAGCGCCAGAAAGAGTTAAATAAAGAGAGAGAGAAAAAAACAAAAACATAGACTTCGGTTATGAACAAAACAAAAAAAAAAAAAAAAAAATTAACATTTACAATATTTTCTTTTCCTGTCCTGATTTGCAGTTTTTCACCAAATTCGAATTGTAACAGAAGCCGATTACACGTCAAATCACAAACGCTACATGTACCTTTTGGAAACATCAAAGGCCAACGTTGCAGTGATGATATTTTTACAGCGCTCTAATCAGTCACTTGATGTTCTTCAGGTGGGGAGGGAAAAAAAAACTACTTAATTGCTTTTGCATTCGGTGAAGAAAGGTTCCATGCTCAAGTTTTGTTGACAAAGCTGGTGACGCTTTAGAAAACAATACCTTATCTTTCTCAGAACCTCCAGAGGGTTAAGATGGGTGATCGAACCCACGATCTCGATGTACAGAGAAAACTGGCTCTGCTCTTTACCACTGGGCTATAATTGCTCGTGTAAGACGTGTCGGAAAAGCTATGTACTGCATCAGATAATTAATTCCCATTTTCAGCCAATGAGTCTCTGCGCTGTTTTAAATCGGCCCGTAATTTCTTGACTGGAGATTTTGCATTCTGAATTTTTTCAGTAAGTGCGACGACAGTTTCAAGTAGCTCCAACGAAATGCAGCCATATTTATTATTCCAAATGAGGAAAAAAGCAAGTGATCACTCAAAGCAATTTTATTGGCTAGAGACTCTGATTTTATCATACGCTAGTGAGCATTGAACACCAGTTCTGAAATCGTGGCAGAGAACATGACTGATTTTTGGCACGTGTGCAGATCCTTAAAATAGTTGCTTTACGAGAAAGTCGGCTGAGAAAACTGCTTCGTGTAGACGAGCTTTTAATTTCAGCCAATAAATGCATTTTTATTGCATCATAAATACAGTGAGATTCTTCTGTTTCTAATTTCTTAACTTTATCCTGTGATGTTTAAAATATGAATCAATAATTTAATTATGATTTAATAATAATAAAGGGATTTTGCACCATACCGAAATACTGGAGACATTTATTTTTGAGCTTTAATTAAGTATATCAGAGGTATGTACTTAAGTTAGAACTATTTATCAGATGTATGATCATTGAATGCTCTGTAGAGCATAGGCTGAAACAGAATGTGATCAAATCAACTGCAATGGCATATTATAGTTGAAAGAGAGATCACTAATATTTTTAAATTGCTAGTGTTTTTAAATATCAATTAAATCTTTGTTAATTAATCTAGGTTTATTGCATTTTTTGCCAGGTTTTATTTGCATTTCATATAGACTAGTTCTAGCTTTAACATTTATTTACTTTATATTAAAAATAATATTTTAACATTTAAATATAGAAAACATAAACCTTTTTAATTATTTTTTAACTAATATAATTGTTATGAGTTTATCTTTTTTTTCCCCCCTTCCCAAAATATGTGTTTGGAAAAAATTTCAGATTTGTATATATTTTCATATAGAAATGGTAAAATTTCATATTTTTAATTCATATAAAGGAATATTTAAAAATTATTTCATCAAATTTTCTTAATTTACAGGTTTATTCAATCTTGATGTTACAACTCTTATTTTCATTAGCTGTCATTGCATTGTTTGTCTTTCAGTAAGTTTTTACTTTTTGAGTTCATACATTATTTCACTTGTTTGTGTATTCAATTATTTTGTTTTTTTTATTTAATTTTTTGGAAAATTATTTAAATCTTAAAATTTGGTACAACATGTGCATTAAGTATGTGTTTCAAATAAATATTAAATAGCTTTATTTCAAAACGTTTCAAAAATTCAAAGTATTTCAAAAGTTTCTGAAGTAAAATTTTTAAAAACATTTTTAGAAAATTTAGGAAAAATGTAAACTGGCTGTAAAAAAATTAGGTATCTAACAAACATTTCTGTAATTATCTTTAATGTAATGAGTAAAAGGCAGCATTAGAATAAATGTGGGCCGACTGAGATTACAAGAAAGATATTTCCCTTATCATGGAAGATATCAGAGAATTTCTTTAATATCCATGAAAATATTTTCAACATTTCATTACCATTAAACTTTGTTTTCTTATCCCTTTTTGCTAGGAAGTAGTGCCTTTGAATAAGTTTAGAAAATGTTTTTTACGGTGACTGAAATTGAAAATTTGATGCTGGGCTTATGTAAATAATTATATTAATTTTTTTTTTCTTTTTTAAATTTAGTGAGCGTGTTAATCTGTTTGTGAGGCGTCACACATACTTATATTATGTATCATAGTAAGTAAAGTTATTTTTTAAACTACTTTTATTCTTTATTGGTAATTCACTCATTACTTAAAATTTTTATCTTGCAGCGTCATATTTCTTGGAGTATACATAGCCTTAGCTTGCTGTGGAAATTTGAGGTATGTTTAATTATAAAATTTTATTATTGAGAAGTGTAAGTCATAGTTTTTATCATTTCAAAATTTTTTGAAAATATTCATTCATAATTTTTTCTACAAAAAGTAATTTTTGTAGCTAGGATCAAGATTTAAAAATGTCTGCAAGCACTGTTTTCAAATACCCTTAATATATCTAAAGCAGCGTAATTTGAAATGGTAATTCTAGAGTTCATGGAAAAGAAAATGTTAAAAAATAATACTCAATAGCTATACATAACTGTATTCCTAATAATAATAGCTATACATAAGTGTATTCCTGAGACCACAAATGAAAAAGTAAATAACTAAACACTTCTGTACTGGTTATGTTACATGATATTAGAAGCATATTTTATTAATAGTAATAATGCTGCAGATGTTTATACAAATTATTATTTAAACATATTAGAATTTAAATGTTTTAAAATTATATTATTTAAGCCTGTTATTAATTTGAAAGATAAATTAGAGATCTTGTGGAATATCAAGTGGCATGTAAAAAACTAGCTATTGTTCTGGCTTCCTAGGAGACAATGATCTTGTGTCTCATGCAGAATAACACTTGCCATTAAGTGTTTGTAATACTTGGCTTTTAGCATAAGCATTCCAAAATTAGCGAGTCTAAGAGTATTTCTTATAACAATACAGACATGTCAATATAGTCACAAAAAAATTACAAAAACATGACTGGGGGACTATTTGTTAATATTGAATGGATTGTTAGGCTTTGTGTTTTCTGTAGCCTGAGCACTGAAGTTATCATGGATACAAATTGTAAAGCATTCATAAGGGTTGTTTATATAAGCAGAGGCTTTTGAGGAATAAGATCTAAAGGTGGGTTTATACTTCTCTCAGTGAGACCCGAGCGTCCCGAACCGAGTAAACGGACCTGTATTCTCTTAGATTGTTTACAAAAATCAAAGCGGACTGACAACTCGCCTCCGTTTGTTTGCAAAATGGATACTGACGTGCAGGTTGCTGTGTTTGAACTTTGTGAAGCAGTTTCCAATGAATTAATTTCTTTTCTGGGGTTAAAAAAAAGGGGGGAAAGAAGAAAGGGAAATCAAAACATGACTGGGTAGCTCCTCGTGATGAATTGAGACCATTAAATCAACTTTTAAATGAACTTCGGAGCGAGGATATCCAAAGTTAGTAAAGCTTCATCAGAATGGGTGAAGAGTAATTTCAAATTTTATTGGAAATGGTCACTTTCCACTTATTCAAAAAAAGGAGGGGAATATATGTTCTTTCGAGATGCTTTGCCAGCAAAATTAAAACTCGTATAGCTCTTCGGTTTCTGGGGACAGGTGACTTCTAGAGTTCTCTGCAATATTTATTTCTAGTGCCAAAATGCACAATCAGCATATTTATTCCAGAAGTATTTGAGGTCATTTTCTGTGTATGAGATTGAGCGAAAGTTATTAATCTTTTGCTTGAACTCTTAACACCCTCAAATTTTAGCATGTTACTAATAGCCACATATGCCTTCTGTCGGCTATTTTTATTTTAATACTTCCGACTGATCATTTGTAAATAAAATCTAATTTGTAGTTCAAATAAAAAGGAAAGTCTATAAACAAAATTTTAGGTTATATTTTATTAGATGTAATTGGCCATGATTAGAAACTGGTTTTTCGAAATTTATATCAACAAAATAAAATAAATGTTTGCTCTTTCATTTATTTTTTTTTAATTGAAAACTGTAGTTTATTGGGTATTTGAATAACATATAATTTAATTGTTTTTTGATTAAAAAATTCAGAAATAAATATTTTGAATCCTGTACCCTAATTTAATTTTCTTTGTTTTTTCTTCAATATCAAAGACCTAAATTCATTCTGATCAGTAGTTATATCCATGTTTTATTTATTAGTAAACAATAGTTGTAATATTCAGGTAGTGAAGTATCCCATAATACTTCACAAGATGCATATGCTTAAAAAATGCCATAGTTAGATTATTGCTCCATCTCGGCATTTTCAATATGACGAAAAAATTGAACACGACGTCTTTGCAAACAAACACTGCTCGGAGAGATTTTTGACTAGTTCAAAGTAGAAACAGATTTGCTGACTCATCTTCCCAATGTTTTTGTTTGGAGAAAGTGAGCGTTTACATTGTCAGAGTGGTCGTAGCGAGGGGCTCGGAGAGGTGTAAACCTACCTTAAAGCATAGCCAATCACAGAAAGGTAATTTTTCACACACTTAAGTTCTCTAAATCTTCCACAGCTTCCTGAAGGTATTCCAAAATTATCTTAATGCTGTTGTGAGAGCTTAACAGATAAAAATACCATTTTTTATACAGTGAGAAAGAAAATATCTAAATATATAATATCAAAATTTTGAAGTCTTTTATTGAAATGTGCTTATGTGTGAAATTAATATAGAACATTTTGTTCTGATGAAAAGTTATATTGGTCACTTCACTTCAGGATATTTATGGGACTGACAAACGTTTTTGGCATAATTGGAAGTCATGCCCCCTCCCCCCGGAAAAAAAAGATTTCAGTTGATTGGAAACTTGTCTTATTGAGAGATTTTGAAATTAGTATTAAAATTTCTTTTCTGATTTTATGAGTTTTATTGTAGTTAAATAATGCCTCGATTTTGCACAATCCTGATTTAGTACCGTTTCATTGTTTACCAGTGAGCTGCTGTTCATCATACCCATGACTTAGTACTTAATTCTTTGTGTGAACTTGATCTTAAATGTCACTTCCACTTCTAATAATCAAAATATAAGAATCAGTCAGTAATTTATAAAATTCTAATTTTCTTCTTCAGTAGTTCAATACTTAGGTTTTAAATTATGCATTCTTTTAAAAAATGCTCCCTCACTCATCCATTTCTGTTAAGTAAGAATTTAGGAAGAGAAGACAATTCTTCTGTTGATTTGAGTTAAAACGTTTTCTTGAAGAGATATCTGCAAGATACAATATTATATTGTCTGTACAATTGGTGTTAAAGTTGGTGCAAATTGGTTTATATGTGTAATTGATATGAATATATATGTGTTTATCCAGTAAATACAACATAAATTCTCTGCAGCGATCTTCTTTGCACAAGATGAAATGCTGCCATAAGATTTTGTCTCTACTACCATAATATTCAAAATTTTAACATCTGATAAATTAAAAAAAAAAAAAAAAAAAACAAGGGACATAATTTAATTTACCATTAATAATAATGTTTGAAGAAGTAATGTTGAAGAATTATGTTTGGTGTCTTAATTGTTCTTGTATAGGTTCATTTCACTGTGTGAAATTTTGCTGGTCTTGCGGAACTAAATATCTGCAATATGTATATACACCCATTTTAAACTCTGCTCATCTTATTTTTCATTAACACAATTACTAATCTTCTGTTATTGGTGGAAAAGCTATTTGATATTAGTCAGCTTCAATATTTGCAATATTCTTGGGATTTTCTTAGCACTGAATTTTAGGTTGTAATTTTTCGTTCAGTTGTTTTTGAGAATTACAGGTAATTGAGTATGTGTCCACATTTAATGAGGTAAAGTATCATTTTAAAACTGAATACTTATGTACTTTCTCAACAATCATGAAAGTTTGGAAGATATCCTTTCAAATTTATGCTAGTCTTTCCAGCAGAAATATGAAAGAAAAGATAATTTTTTATTCATTTAAGAAATCAACAGATACAGGTAACAGATATAGCATGTAAAACAGCTGAACACTTATCAGATGAGTCGAATATGTTCTTTCTTGGTTTTCAGGTATTTTTTAGGAGAATTAAATAAACATGTATGTGTGGTTTTAAAGTGTTGTAATTTTTCTTGGTTTTCAGGTATTTTTAGAAGAATGAAATAAACGTGTATGTGTGATTTTAAAGTGTTGTAGTTTTATTAAATAAATATCTAAATTTCTTTATGATATTTTACGAAGTTATTTATTAATGTGGCCAGTATATTTTACAAATGTGATATTTTGTATCTACATTACAGTTTTCTCATTCTATCTCTGCATCGAATAATGTATTTGCTTAATTTCCTCACGGATTTTCGCATCTTCCATAGAAAATGCATTTTTTTCCTGCCATTTTAATTTTACTTAAAATTACTACCTAAAAAGCAAATGCACCATAGAATCAACAGATAGATAGTAATGTAACTAATGGTGCCAAGAAAAAAATAACACACTGTGCATAAAATGAAAAATTAACACAATACTGAAAATTTTAGCAAAAACGTATGTCTACATGGTCTGTCCTTCGAAATCACAATGGAAAAACGTAAATTTATCCAACCCATCCATTAACCCTTTGATGCAAAAATATTATTTTTATATTTTTTTAACTAAAAACTCTAGAAATTGAATATTATGATCCTAGAGACTAATAATATATGAATTAAGAAAAATCTACTCTTACCCGTTGTTCTGTGGATGGTGGTCACACTGTAAAACCACCGTGTATCTGTGACTTTGAAACTTACTGAAGTAGTAGGGGGAAAAAAAAAAAAAAACTTACCATTTCTCCGTGCGCATTTCCAATGAATGACAAAATTTACGAATTAAAAAAAAAATTATGTAAGAATTGCATTATATATAATTTTTTTACATTATTTTACAAAGTAAATTGTCAGAAAAAATTAAAAAATAAGCATTTATGTAATTTTTCTATAGCAGTGAAAATATAAGTACCTACATAATAAGGACGTTTGGCTAAATGGATAAAAAAAAAAGACTCGGTGTTTTATTTTTTAAATTTCAAAGAACAAATTTTTTTTGTGACACTGCTCAAAGCATGTTTTGTCTTTTTGAGTACATGCATAGACCCACATTGCAAGTGGGTCTATGCATAACATGTATCTTCTCCTATGAGGTTTCTTCCTTGTGCTACCAAATATACACTGCCTGGATCTAAATTTCACTGGTATATGTCCTGTGCTATTTAGTTTCTTTTTATCTGACACATGAAATTTGTGTTTTTTTTTTTTTTTTTAATTTTAATGGGGGGTGACT